TAATTTGGTTAAAATATTAGAATAATGTAATTTCTCAAGTTAATTACTGTAAAAAAAACAAATGTGAGTGCAATTAAATAAGATATAATAACTAAATAAGAATATACTCAAAATATTCTATTTGAATGTAAAAAATAACTTAATGGATTAAAAAGAATGGTGTAAAGTAACCATTTAAATTATGGCATACCGGTTAAGTCTCAATGATTAGTTGTGTATACAACTTCTTTGCTTGGTTTAGAATGTCATGAACATGATAAATTTGAACTAACTAAAAAATTCAGTTTCTCAATTACGATAGAGTTTGTTTCAAATACAACTCATTATATTTATATAACCAATACAACCTAATAAATTGAGATATTTATGGAAATGATAAGAGTTCTTTTATTATAATTTGAATATTTATGAAAGATGAATAGAGTTCATTAATTATGATCAATACCATATATTAGGAAACAATCAAAACTTATATGAAATCATATATTCATCAAATTAAATGGACCGGTTGAGATTGGGTTGTATTGGTTGTACAAAAGTAAAGGGTTGTATAATAACCAACTTCTTTCTCTCTCTCTCTCTCTCTCTCTCTCTCTCTCTATATATATATATATATATATACCTAATAAATAAGTAACGTGTGTGACACGTGTCATCTTCTGGTGAGTCAGTTATCTTATTTTTCCGCCTAAACATGTATCTAGACACAATTTACATTAGTGGTTCAAAGAGGCCTAAACATGACCAAGTTTCACCTTCATGAAACTTGTTTCATGTAAATTAATTTTTTTTATTTCACTCATGATTTGATGCATTTTTTTCTTTAATCCTTACAATCTTCAAGAGTCTGGAGCAAATTACAATCTTCAAGATTCCGAAGCAGATTCATCATGTACCCGTTTCATCATGCAATTATTTCATGACGAACCAAATAAATTATGCACCCGTTTCATGTTCTATTTTTTTCTACTAAACGGATCAACTACACCATCACTGAAACGTGGTTCACCATGAAACGATTTCATATTACTCATAAATCAATTACAACATGAATCAGTTTCACCTTCATGAAATCTGTTTCATTAACATTATTTTTTTAATTTGAACCATAATTTACGATTTCATTCCATAATACAATTCAATCTTCAAGACCCGTTTGCAGATTCAATCTCATAACAATATATCAAATTCAAATTTTTAATATTGTAATATAATTAAATATTTAAATGTTACCATTTATACAATTTTCTTAATTAAGATTTATTAATAACTTTCATATTTAATAGAAAATATTGTAAATGACCGAAATACCTTTATTGATTAAATTTAATTAGAAAAAAATGAAATTTTCCTATTGTTCGAAATTGGTTTACACGGTTTCTTAGAAATGCACGATTTTTTATTTGAACGTCCCCCTATATATATATATATATATAATATTAATGGTATTTCTAATGGCGTCCGTGTTTGTAAGGGCAACTCTGTTAGTAGGATTATTGAAACAAAAGAGTTATAAGATCTAATTCGTGTGATTTTCAAGTTGTATATATTTTAGTTATCTGAAATTGTCTCCGTACATTTAACCTCTATTTATTTTAATTACATTATATTATATTATTAATTACATGTATGCTATATAATTAATTAGCGTAGACCACGAGAAGTGCCGATCGGTACGGCAAAATAAGTACACCTACTTATACCACCACATGCAATGATGCCCACAACCACAAGTGGACCATTCTTTTCTTCTTTCTGCCTTTCACGCTTACTTATTTTACATATATAACTTCTCATTTCATGTTTATAATTAATATCTATTTTTCATAACCATCAAACTTACTCATTTAGTTAGTAATAACTATTAATTATGAGTGTTTGGACCAGTTCATACGTACTTCGACTTATTTCAGGAGTCTTAAAAGAACATTTAATAATCTTGCAGGACTCGACTCGATCGAAGAACTCTGAAAAATAATAACAATTACGTATTATGTTATGCATAAAAATTTAATTGCCGAATTACTTTGAGATTTAATCAATTTTTCACTTGTAGAAGTGTAGAAAACTTGATTACAATTTTTATTATTATTTACAATTTTTCACGACATAGAGGTGCTAAACCTAAACCTTCTCGTTAATGTGAGCTCTTGATAATGATCCTTTTTTTAACTTGGTAATTTATGGAAGTCTAAGGTGTGGGTGTAAACCCTTTTCTCCTGTAGGGTCTAATTGGTAAATAGAAAGATGAAAGGGAGTAAACCCTCTTTCTAACATCATTTGGGATCGACATTTTCCTTGGAGAGGCTCTAGGGAGGGAGGAGCATTGGGAAAATTGATTTCGTCTGGAGATTTTGTCAAATGAAGATTTCAGAGTAGAAGTTCATCATCCTCGGTGTAATCTTTCTTCCCTCAAACTTAGACTCTCCATTAATGGAGTTTTGATTTTCTAATTGGGGATTTCAATCACTTTTGAGTGTTATGAATGAAATCATAATCATAGTAGATTAATGTATATGAATTGTTCTTGATATTTTTACCACATTTTCTATTAGGAAATACACCATTGTTGATTAACTCAAATGGAGATCAAGGGGTTTCAAGCTTAGAAACTTGGATTATTGGTTTTGATGGATTAATCCATGAATTGTACTTAGATTAGTGTTTAAAATGGTTTTGGACTTTGATCCTTATGTTTCTGGACCTTCAAATTGATTTGGCAATGATTGGTAAAGATTTCTAGTTAGATGTTGAGTATTGAAAAGTCGTATAGCTCAAACAGAAGCTTAGGCGCATTTGAATGCGAGTTTAGTTACTTCAAAGTCGCTCTAAGCATTGTTGAGTGCCACTTCGGTTTTGCTTCGTTTCTCGATTTGGGATAGGTTCGAGGCATTGTTTAAGGGATTGCTTTTTTTTTATTAACCTAGATATCCAACCCGCAATGCGAGCCGACTAATCTCAGGGGGACCACCTGCTTTGCAGATATCCCGGAGTCACCGCTTTTGAACCTCCATGGCCACAAGGGGATTTTTTTTCCTCCTTGGATTTGAACCTGAGACCTCCTGGTACTTTTGACCTTTGGAGCCAAGTTCAAACCAATCAGGCACCACCCTTGTGGTTAAGGGATTGCTTTAGAGATCATACTAGATGGTTTTGAGATAACTAAGATGGTTTACCACCATTCTTATATTAGTTAATTCGGGTGTTTGATTTGGGCCCTTTTTTTAGCCAACAGGACGTGTGGAAGTGTGATGAGCCTCAGGTGAGTTTCGTCGACCCTTCTTCGATATATGGGATTATTTAAAAATGTTTCGGAAGCACTTAATATGGTCTTACGGTTTGATGTCTTAAATGATTATTTGTTTTAAATATGGTTTATTACATGTGATAATGTTTAGATATATGGTTGGGTTTGCATAGTGGGATTAGGGTACCTTGAGATAGTCGAATCTCTTAAAAGTTTAATAATGTGTGCTTTGAATTTGTTTCATGAGCGCATCAGATTAGTTATGAATGTCACAGTGGAGTGACGATGGCCTGGTCTATGAACACTATGGAAAGCCCCTGTTGTTTTGTGATTGGTTATTCACTTGGTTATTTTTTGGCCTTTATGATTGATTGATATTTTAAATGTTTAATGCTTCTCTATGCATGTTAAGGGGGATTCACTAGATAAGATGCATGTAGTGGTGGCTTGAATTAAATATGGAGTTTAATTTGCCTTTAGATTTGTAAAAATTCTCAGCTATGAAGGTTGATTATCCGCTATAAACATTCGAGATGTATGGACTATTTTGTCTTTTTACTCTTGGGTCCATTTTGGCATCTTTGTATTATTGTTATGTTGGATTTTCGTATTGTTACAATTAATCTGTTATCTATAAAGTAACTTTTATTTGTTAGGACACTTTCTCAAAAGTGTCCTATAAAGTTGCTAATGCGACATTTTGTATTGAAAATGTCTTAAAAAACTTGTTAAGACGCCCAAAAGCGTCAGATAAACTTATTACAACATCTTTAGATATGACGCTTTATATTTTAATCATATAAATTAAGTCCTATAAAACGATCTATAGGGACGCTTAGAGATTGGGGGTGTCCTATAAACCCAATTTTGTTGTAGTGTAAAGAACTTGTTAAAATGCCTAAATCGTCCTATAACCCTATTATAACATTTTTGAATAAGACGTTTTTTGTTTGGTCTTATAAACCTAAGTCCTATAAGGTATTTTTTTTAGAATGCTTCTCTATTTTAAGCCTCGTATAAATCAATTTTGTTTTAATAACATGGTTATGAAGTTGTAATAACCACAAATAATAAATTGTTGCAATATAATCGGTTTTGAAAATATATCCAACCATTTTAATAATTACTTTGTCACAATAAATTTTCGCTTTTTTAATTTTAATTATTTATTAAATATCACCATAATCACTTTAAAAACACATACTAAAAAACTACCCTAACTAAATGACAAAAGGCTATAAATGTCCAATGAAAGATCCAAGGTAGATGTTGCATTTCCACTTTGTTGGAAGTAACATAGAGATATTTATTGACACATAAAACTTATAAGCAGGGACTAAAATGAAATAAACTAAAAGTAAAGGATCCAAAAGTCATTAAACATAAAGTTTAGGGGCAAATGGAAAATATTCGTTAATACGGTGCTGTTGGTGAACTACAACCTTTGACTTTGAACTTACGCGATACCTTGGATTATTCGAGTGGCATGCACCATCCATATTTTCTTTTTAGATTTATTTTTTGACCCCTTAATTGATTTTCAATTACTAACATAATCACCATCTTTAATCAAACAAAAAAAAAATCATATAATTTTGGATCGGTTGTGTTTTACTAAAATCGAATAATTAACCAAACCAAACAAAACACGTTCGGTATATTCGATTAGGAATTATAGTATATATATAAGAATGTAGGATGTACACATATTTTTTCACTATCCTAATTGGTAGAGAAAGTGTCTATGTGAAGACTTCTGACATAAATAATTTGAACTGGGAATCAAATTTTTTAGCGTTTCGGGATTTACTAGAGCGCAAGAGTTGTAGCAAAATAATACTCAAAGAATAAGAGTCTGTGCGAACAAACAACAAAGACATAAAACTAGCTAGTCGTCACAAGTAAAGTCGGGGATAAAGTAAGAAAACAGTTGTACATATGTTAAAATGAAGTATGAGGACGAGATCCTCTCCCTCCAACCATGCTAGACCAGTGATATCATGGATGTCGGCTAGATCTACGCCCCTTCACACAACTACAGTATCTTGCTACTAGTCCTTATAACATTCTACTCATGTCATCGAGAAAGTCTAAGTGTAACACGTAGAGCCATTTTTGCTCATCATATATTATGTCCTCCTAGGCTTGCCTCTCGTCATCTCTCCACCACTACGGTCTACACCCTCCTCATTGGTCGTCAACTGTTTCGAAAACTAATTGTCATTTAGGTGCCATGCATTTTATACCTTTTCGTCTAGTTTTAAAAAATTAACTTACAACCGGTGTTCTCCTATACCTAATATGAGAATAATTGAACTAAAACTCATGATACAAGTGATGAAGACAAATACTATGAATTATTGGTTTTTCTTTTTTATAATATTTTATCTTTTTTGAGTTTGTATATTCACATTGTTGTTTAGATTATTAAAAGTATGCAAAAAATAAAACAGAAGAAAAAAAGCATATCCAATCAAAAAGTAGTATAGGTCTTTAAAAATCCAAATTACATTAAAGCCCATGTGGTTGAAGGAAAAGCTTTTATGAAGGTCAACTCTTTAAACCCCTCCATTTTTTCTATATATACCCTGCAAACCCTTCTATTCATAAGCACACCTACATACTTATCAAACCCACCTCTTCTTCGCTTTAGGTTTCTTCATTCTTCCCAAAACCTTTTGGAGATCAAGAAACAACAATGGCTTCCACAGCCACCATTCCAGAGAATCATGAAGCCATATCCATCCCCGCCAATGTCACGCCTCGGCTGACATTTGCTCTGCCGGTGGATTCAGAAAACAAAGCCACAGAGATGAAGATCTTTTCGTTAGCACAACCCCACATGAGAGCCTTCCATCTCTCATGGCTATCCTTCTGCACTTGCGTTATCTCCACCTTCGCCGCTGCTCCTCTTGTTCCCATTATCCGGGACAACCTCAACCTCACCCGCGCCGACATCTCCAATGCCGGAATTGCCTCCGTCTCTGGAAGCATCCTCTCACGCCTCGTCATGGGGGTGCTCTGCGATCTCGTGGGCCCCAGGTATGGTTGTTCGGTGATCAACATCCTGGCAGCTCCGGTGGTTTTCAGTGTTTCCTTTGTGGCGGATGCTGGCGGTTACGTGGCGGTCAGGTTCATGATAGGGTTCTCGCTGGCAACGTTCGTTTCTTGCCAGTATTGGACGAGTGTGATGTTCAATGGGAAGATTATTGGAGTGGTGAACGGGGTATCCGCTGGGTGGGGTGATCTGGGTGGTGGCGTTACTCAGCTGCTGATGCCGGTGCTCTTCCATGTATTGAGTCAGATGCTGGGAACCACACCATTTACGGCTTGGAGAATTGCTTTCTTTATTCCGGGATGGTTTCATTTTATTGTTGGGGTCCTGGTTTTGGTGTATGGCCAAGATTTGCCTGATGGCAACTTTGCTCAAATTCGAAAGGATGGACAAGCTGCAAAGGATAAATTCTCAAAGGTGACTTGATTAATTCTTTGCATCCGACATTCTTAATATTTTGAGCATTTGATTTACCCACTTCTTTTCGTAACTGCAGGTATTCAGAAATGCAATCACAAATTATAGGACATGGGTGTTTTTCTTGATCTATGGATATTCCATGGGCGTGCAATTGTGCTTGAATAACGTCATCTCTGAATACTTCTTTGATAGGTAACAAAAAAACTCATTTTTCCGTTAATATTTGTCACGAATAAATCGTTAAATCTTCGTGATCAGGTAGTTGACGACTTCATTTTTCTAATATGCTACAGGTTCGGGTTAAAGCTTCACACAGCCGGTGTCGTGGCGGCAAGTTTCGGGGTGGCTAACTTCTTTACCCGCCCATTCGGTGGCTACGTGTCTGACTTATCGGGTCGTAAGTTTGGAATGAGGGGCAGGCTATGGACATTATGGATAACACAAACCCTAGGAGGCGTTTTCTGCATATGGTTAGGGCTAGCCAACTCTCTACCCATCGCCATCTTGTCGATGATGCTCATGGCCGCAGGRTCACAAGCCGCTTGTGGRGCAACTTACGGCATCATTCCCTTCGTTTCCCGACGTTCTCTGGGCATTCTATCCGGCTTGACCGGTGCCGGTGGCAATGTTGGTGGTGGTTTGACCCAACTGCTATTTTTTTCCGGTTCAAGATTTTCCACTGCATGGGGGTTAACATGGATGGGTGTAACGGCGGTGGTCTTAACGATTCCGGTGGCTTTTATCCACTTCCCACAATGGGGGAGCATGTTTTTTCCGGCATCATCGAATGAGAAATACAATGAAGAGTATTACTATAGCTCGGAGTACAGTGAGGAGGAGAGAGAGATGGGTATGCACATCGGAAGCATGAAGTTCGCTGAGAACAGTCGGGCGGAGCGTGGGAAGAGACTGGTGGTGGCAGTGGCAGAAACCCCTCCGTATACGACGCCGAACTACCACGTTTAAAGCAGTAATTAATAAAGAAAGTTAGGGTTGAGTAAGGAAGAAGTAAAGGAATTAAATTAGAGTGCAGCATGAGCATGCATGCATGTGGTCTCTATAGGCAACCGTACTTATCGCTACTCTTTTAATTACTTCTCGTGATCTTCTTCTTATCACAACACTCTTCTTAATCAGTGTTCTAAAATTACATTGTGTTAAGAGATTTGTACATTCTTGATACAATTTAATATAACAATTTTATGTAAGTTGTCGATCGCAGCGTTTTTGTTCATTCGATTTCGACCATCCTGACCAACTCGGCCACTCTAATCCGTGTAATGATATCATTAACAACAGTTTAGTCAAGAAATGTACATACAATAAACCAAATATTGCAAAATTATAACGTTGCTTTTCTTTGTTTTCTACTCCTCGATCTCCATCTTTCCTTAATTTCTCCAATAATCTTTTATCCATTAATTATGTGTTGTCGTTCTGATATTGTATTATGTATCCTAGAACACTTTATGTCGTTTTTTTGAGCATTATTTCTTGTAAGTATGTATGTATGCAAACATTAAGTAGGTGATATAATAAATTAGAAACAAGGTGTTCTCACAAGGGTTTGTCAAACAAAGAATCGGCCATAGATTTGAGCTCGACTCTGCAACAGGATTCTCATGAATTCGTAGATTGTCGTAAGGATGAAATTTGTTAACTCAAAAACATGGTAGATATATACATGGTTTACAAATGTTTTACACTGATATATATACGCGGGGTTCTTTTAAGAAATTGTTAAATAGTGATATCCGCGAGATCCAATTTAAGCCAAAAAAATCTATTTGAAAAATAAAATATATATAAATTAAAAATCATTCTCTATCTTATCTCCTAATTTTTCTCCTGTCTATCATCTTTCTCTCTCCTCTCTCATCTCTATTCTCTCCATAAAATACTTATGCATAATTAAATTTGAACTCTAGGTGAATATATTATGAACATTTTCTTAAAAGTTACTATTATAGTTTGTGAACAGGATCTAAACGAGATTTGATATGACTTTTGAACATATTATGAACACAAACTGAATCAATAAAATTAAATGTAGACATACTACTTGTAAACACAATGTGAACATTGTGAACACCCTAGTAAAAAAATTTATTAAGGATGTTTATATTGTATTCACAATATATTCATCTTGTATACATTACACGTGTTTGTCAATATGAAGATAGGAAAGAGAATAGAAAAGAGAGAAATAGATAAATATGGTATTTATTAAAAATTGCATTAATTTCTCTTTAATAAGCTATAATAATTATCTCATTAATTAATAAATATAATTATCTTAAATTAGTGGTTTAAAACGTATCTCACATACTTTATAGTTTTCAAATGATTAAAGGGAAGATTATTGGAGTGGTGAACGGGGTATCCGCTGGGTGGGGTGATCTGGGTGGTGGCGTTACTCAGCTGCTGATGCCGGTGCTCTTCCATGTATTGAGTCAGATGCTGGGAACCACACCATTTACGGCTTGGAGAATTGCTTTCTTTATTCCGGGATGGTTTCATTTTATTGTTGGGGTCCTGGTTTTGGTGTATGGCCAAGATTTGCCTGATGGCAACTTTGCTCAAATTCGAAAGGATGGACAAGCTGCAAAGGATAAATTCTCAAAGGTGACTTGATTAATTCTNATATATATATATATATATATATATATAGAGAGAGAGAGAGAGAGAGAGAGAGAGAGATGAGTTATTATACAACAATTTACATTTGTACAGCCAATACAACCTAATCTCAACCATCCATTTAGTTTGATGAATGTGTAATTTCATAGAAGTTTTAATTGTTTCCTGATATAAAGTATTGATCATAATTAATGAACCTTATTAATTTTTCATAAATATTTAAATCATAATAAATGAACTCTCATCATTTTCATAAATATTTTAATTTATTGAGTTGTATTGGTTGTACAAATGTGATGGGTTGTATTTGAAACAAACTATATATATATATATATATATATATATATATATATGGTGTGTGTATTTTTAGCACAAAAAATTGTAGACGATTCAAGAGTTTGTCGTCATCAACTAGTTGTTTTAATATACACTCTTATCATAAATATATATGTATAAAGGGTATATATTTTTAGATTTTATAACATTTTCTTTTACAACTTTTGGAACGAGAATAAAAGTCATCAATAAACACGATTCTTATCTTACGGGCCGAATAGCTTGTTTGTATTCCACTCCTCTTAGAAAAAAGAAAAAAAAATAGATATATCTAAAAGTAGCATTATCTAATATCTATACGAATAAGATAAGCAACTTGAAGAGCTAGAAGCTAAGATCTTTAATCTTATAATTCACTCACTGAGAGTCAGAATTTTGAAAGTCATCCATAAGTGCAATTGCTCTCCCTAGAGGATAACTTGATTCCATCTCGATCTTCTTCCTAAACCGAAAGATATCTAAAAGTAGTGATTTATATTCGAATGAGATAAAGCAACTTGATCAGGTCTAGAGGCTACGAAGTCAACTAGATAATTGAGGGCAAAAGACACACTACCCACATACCAAATCAACTAAAAGGAGAAGAGAACGATATATAGTAACACACTAGAAAACAACATACTAATTGTTGCAAGCTAATCCTTAAGGGTGCGTTTGGTACGCAGACAGGACAGGACAGGACGGGACAGAACAGGATAGGACAGGACAGGACAGCTGTTCAGCGTTTGGTAAGACATGATAGGACTGGACAGAACTGGTTAAAATGACCAATTTACCCCTACTGAGTCAATCCTAGAATTCTAACCACCATGATCAAAACCCAATTTTACAATGACAAATTTCAAACCCTAAATCGATTTTACAGTGACAAATTTACAAACCCTAAATCGATTTTACAGTGACAAATTTACAGTGACAAATTTCGACTGTGACAATCAATTTTACAGATCAATTATTAAATTATTCAAACCCTAAATCGATTTTATACAACTTCAATCAATTTTACAGTGACAAAATTCGATCAAAACCCATTTTCACAGCAAACAGATCCATAAATCGATTCAAACCCTAAATCGATTCAAGCATTACAACCAGCAAACCCTAAATCGATTCAAGCAAAGCAACCAGCAAACCCTAAATCGATTCAAGCAAAGCAACCAGCAAACCCTAAATCGATTCATAGCGATGGAGAATGAAATCGTGTACCTGATGAAGGAGAAGGAGGGTGCGATGGAGAAGGAAATCGATTCAAACCTCCCGTCGTCGTCGCCGTCGCCGTCGCCGATGGGGAAGGACGCACGATGAGGGTGCGATGGAGGCAG